TGGTTTTACCCTATAATCTGTCTTAAACGGTTAGCCTTTGCTACTACTTGCTTCCTAGAAATAAGCAACAAATGTGATTCCTTAAAAAAGAATGTATATGTATGCATCTCTGCATCTAATATGCATACCTTATTTTCTACTGGTTAGTTCCTACTTCACTTTATAGCATTAAAACTAACTAGCAGGGTCACCAGGGTGGCTCAGTCATTGAGTGTATGCCTTCCGCTCAGATCATGATCCCAGAGTCCTGGGATCAAGCCCAGCATCTGGCCCCCTGCTCAGCAGGGGACCAGCTTCTCCTTCTCCCCCTGCTCATTCTCTCTCTCTTGTTCTCTCTCTCTCAAATAAAATCTTAAAAAAAAAAAAACCACTTTAAAACTAACAATGCTTCTCAGTGTCTGCATAAAAAATGGTGACCTCCAGTGCTCCAAATAACTCTCAGCTTTATGACTTTATAGTTTACTAGAAAGAAGAAGGAAAGTCATCAGAGGCTACCCAGATCTCTGGCTGGTTTCCTGCCGTTTCTGAGGTTATAAGACCACAAAAGGTTCTGAGTATTAAATGAAAGTATTTATAAACTATATACCACTGTGTAATATCATTTCAAACATAAGGAGATCAAAGGCAGAAGAAGAGGAATCCAGGAGGTAGGGAGGGTCTTTAACATGGAATTGGAAGATTTTCATGTTTCAAGTGTGTGCGTATTATGAAAGCCTGGGGGAGAAAAAAATCGAATTATTACCTAATCCATCAATGGAATTATGAGGGAAAATCATGGTGGAGGTTTACTCTCATAGCACAAAATTCAGGCAAAGGCCTTGTTGTGAGGATTTATGAAAACCTGTGTACTTACCCTGCAAGAGCCAGTTGGCAAAGAAAGTACTTATACCTGGTATGCTGCCTTTGTTTAACGATTTTCTTTCACACTGCTGTTCTAATAGTTTAGGGATATTTTCTCTGACTTATAGATTTCCAGAAAGAGAAGCTAATACATTATCATGAAACCACATGAGTTGTATTAGTTTCCTATTGTTGCTGTAACAAATCGCCAAAACTTAGTGGCTTCAAACAATGCAAGTTTACTCTAATAATCTTACAGCTCTGGAGATCAGAAGTCCAAGACGGTGTCATTGGGTTAAAATCAAGGTGTCAGAAGGACTACTTTTCTTCTGGAGGCTCCAGGGGAGAATCTTTCCTTGCCTTTTCCAGCTTCTAGAGGCCACCTCCATTCCTAGGTTCATGGCCCCTTCCTCCATCTTAAAGCCAACAGTGGCAGGCCGGATCTTTCTCCTGCTGCCATCTCTTCAGCTCTCAATCTCCCACCTCCCTCTTTCAATTTGATTACATTGGAGCCACCTGGATAATGCAGGGTTCTCTATTTGAAGGTAAGCTGATTAGCAACCTTAATTCCAACTGCATATGTAATCCCCCCCACCCTTTGCCAGGTAACATAATATATTCCTAGGTTCCAGGGATTAGAATGTGGAGGGGCAGGGAATGGGACATTATTCTGCCTACTACATGGGTTATAATCTAGTTTTATATCAATAAGCATCAGACATATAATATGCCAGATACTTCACGAAATCTTTGCCCTTCTTAGCCCTCAGAGGCTTGGCTTTGGAATGTGTGTGGTAGGGGAAGGTGAGGGAGGCCCTCTTTCACTTAGGGCTAAAGCAGTGGTGTGCTGATAAACTTAGCAACCAGCTCTAGCAAAGAGGAGGAGGGGAAGGTTGACTTGTAGCATTTACTGATTTCTGTGGTGAAAATATTCCCACAATGGTCGGTTTCAAGTTACCAAGATGAAGTCCAGGAGGCTCTAGTACACACCAGGGGAAGAACACATAACATCAACATACCCTAGTACAGAAAATAAAAGTTTGATGGGAGTATCCAAGTGCCCTTTACAAATTTCCCCTTCACCTATAGGACTAACTCTCCCTGAAGCCATTGACATGACCAGATGCTAAAGAGCTGGCTGCTTTTCACATCCTTGTGCTTATTAAAAATCAAAGACCACTCACATGTGCTAGCAGGGAATATAGTTTACTCTCCCCTCACTCACACACAGGTGGTGACCATTTAGAGACCCCGTGTTCCATGGTGACCCTGCCTGGGAGAGAGGGAGAACTGAAGGGCAAGGCGGGGGTTAAGACCAGAGGCCAAGCTAGGGACTCTCAGGTGGCAATAGGCTGCTTGGTTTCTACTTGACCTAGAGTTCCTGGACAGTAGCCATTTGCCTGGAGAGGAGGATGGTATTTTACAGGCTGCTGTCCATATGGGTGTTTGCTGTGCATTTTAAAGAATAAATGCTCCATAAGCACTGCCATTATTGCTTCCCTTGGCCATTTCCACACTGGCAGTGTGAAGTATGCCATTTCTAGATGGCTAATGTCCATTTTTCTTTTATCTTACACAAGCTACTAAATAGGCTCTCATTTAGTAGGAAAAGCCACAGATTTATATCCAACAGGAAGAGCTAGGTCCTGGTGGCAGCACAGGGCAATTAACCAGAGAAATCAAGTCTATGGAAGGACCAGGGCAGGCTGCTCCTTATCTTGTTCAGTAGCTTACATTAATGCTCCTCAAATTTTCTATGCACTAAGAATCAACTGGGGAGCTTATTAAAATGCAGGTCCTGGTTCAAAAGGTCTCAGGTGGGGTCTCAAGATTCTGCATTTCTTTTTTTTTTTTAAGATTTTATTTATTTATCTGACAGAGAGAGAGAGCAAGCACACAAGCAAGGGGGGAGCAGCAGAGGGAGAGAGAGAAGCAGGCTCTCCGCTGAGCAGGGAGCCTGATGCGGGGCTTGATCCCAGGACCCTGGGATCATGACCTGAGCCAAAGGCAGATACTTAACTGACTGAGCCACCCAGGTGCCCCAAGATTCTGCATTTCTAACAAGTGATGCCAAGGCTGCTGGTTCAAAGAACACATTTTGAATGGGAAGGATCAACATATCAACGTTCTCTCCCCATCTTTCACTTTTGGACAAAATTATACCAATAATCATTATAGTTATCACATTAGAAAAACCAATCCAATTAAGATTTCTGTAGTTAATGATTGCGATACCTCTAGTGTTACAGTACAACTTGGAAAGAGAAAAATGCTGCTTTTACTCAATGTGAAAGAAAACCACTTCAGCCACCAGCATTTCTGAATAGCGTACATTATTTGACCCCGGGAAGAAATGAGCTATAAATAACCCATAAGCCAGCCAATTATGGGTATTAAATGACCACTAATACGTGGCTTTTAGAAGAATAAGTTGCAACACAGTAATTCTTCAGGATCTGCAAGCCTCTTAATTCAATTCCTGGTGATGGCTGGATGATCTTCTTAATTCCCCCTGAAATGCAGACTGACTATGTAAACGGGACACCTCCTCTACAGTCACAAGACCAAAGTGTGAGCCTTCCTTTGAAGAAAAAGAAATGAAAGGGGGGAGTTGGATGAAAAAGGATAGGGAATAGAGAAGTAGAAAAAGAAACAAAAAATGTTTTAAAGGTTAAAAACGAATTATTGTAATAAAAATCTTTTCAGTGAAGGTGTAGTAGCTGATCAATTGGAAACAGATTGCCAAATTAAATTTTGCAAGCAAAAGTTCTCATACCCTTCTGTCTTACACCTCCAGCATTTCATTAGAGTTCCTCACGTAGAAGTCCAGTCTTATCTCCACGCCAGAGCCCACATCTCCATCTACAGATGCTCCCAGCCACGAGAGAAGAGGAGGAGGTAGGGCTTAGTTTAGGGGCATGGCGGGGAGCTGCCCAAGATCATACAACATAACCAAATACCTTATAAGAAAGACGGTCTGCTCACCAGCCAGGTGGACAGCAGAAAAGACTCATATACTCGCCTGTGTTTTATAAGCCATCACATTTGGCTTCATTAACTCCAACTGGTAAAAATATCTATTGCTTGGTAACCAGGCTTAAATTTTGACCAACACTCAGTCTTTAAAAGAAAAAAAGAAAGAAAGGGAAGGAGGGAGAGAGAAAGAGACAGGCAGACAGACAGGCAGGCGGACAGCAAGAATAGGAACGATGTTTCCATGACTTATACTTGCAGCAGGTGCCATGCTCGGTGGTGAGTATCATGAGCCAATGTCCCCATACCTCCAGTATTTTTTTTTTAAGATTTTATTTATTTATTTGACAGAGAGAGACAGTGAGAGAGGGAACACAAGCAGGGGGAGTGGACGAGGGAGAAGCAGGCTTCCTGCCGAGTGGGAAGCCCGATGAGGGGCTCGATCCCAGGACCCTGAGATCATGACCTGAGCCGAAGGCAGACGCTTAACCAACTGAGTCACCCAGGCGCCCCACCCCCATACCTCCAGTACTTAAAACCTACTACAGCTTAGGACTTTGTGGAGAATGGGAGGAGGAAGGAGAGGTGGGGGTAGAACACTACATTCTTCATTCTTCTGTAGCAGAAAAACATTTTTAAGAGATTTTTTCCGCCAAGCCCCAGAAAGAGTTATCAAAATGAAAAACATCGCTTTCGCTTCAAGATTTTGCATAGATCCTGTCAGTAATACTGAAATGCAAATGCACACTTTTTCTTTTATCAGGAAGAGAGGTATGTTCACCTATTGAACACTCACCCCAGAAAATTCAATATTTGGATATAAACATGGCAGTGCCCCAAATGCTATCATTACTAACTACTTTGCCTTCTGGTCAAATACACAGGCCCTACTTGGATCGCTTGCCTGGGAGGTGAGACAGTGTGGTCACTAAGAACTCTAGCTTGGAGGCCAGTCTGCCTGGATTTGAATCCTACTTCTTCTGCTTACTGGCCATGAGCCCTTGGTCAAGTTATCTGTCCTCTCTGCCAGTTTCCTCACTTGTAAACTGAGGTAATAAGAATAACATATACTCGTAAGGTTATTGTGAGAATTCAATGAATTTGTGTATGGGCAGTGTGGAGAAGAGAACCTGGCATGCAGTAAGCCTTCCGTAAACGGTAGCTCATCATTCTTTCTACTGTCCTACCTTCTCTCTCTGAATTGCCTTCATTTTTTGCATTTTGGCTTCTTCCGCTTCCTTCTTGATTCTTACAGATTCTTCTCTTTTTAGCTAAATTGTATTGAAATTACAGAGGACAAAACACAGTTACTATTTTTCAGTCTGAACCTCTGGAACACAAAATTATGATGAAAGGCAAATTACAGTATTGTTTGTGCTATACCTCACCATGATTATAGGTTGGCACTTCCAGCTACTTAGATCACAGAGAATGGTCAGGCTGCATCCCCTGCCCATGAAATTAATCTCTTGTGTTTTTTCCTTGGTCTCTGTCTGTCTTCCCACCCCCACGCCCAGGTTGAGGAGAGAGAAAGAACAGATAATATTTCCTTATTATAAAACTCATAGAGTTCATTATTTTAAAAAAAGTCACTGGCATCTTAAATCTTTCTCTACTACTTTCATGACTGGCATTAGGTAAACAAATCCATGTTCTTGGAATAAAACATTCAAAACATGGTAGAGTTAAGCTATAAACAATAAATCCCTTTATCAAGGGTCCTCCTGATTGACACATATGGCTTGGAAAAGAATTCTAGATATCTGTCTCTTCTTTTCTCGCTTCCTAATTTCTTTGATTGTGAGAGTCTCCTGCTATCGATTTAAAGGTTTTACGTTTTTGGTAAAGTTACTGTATTATTCCATGGTTATTGAAAGTGCTGGTACTCAAATTCCTTGCCAAAATTAAACTAAAAAAGATGGAATTTGACCTTTTGCTGGTATTTAGATTGCATCAGTTGGAGTTGTTGTTTCTGCCTGACTTCAGCCTCTGATTGGCTTCCACCTATGGAAAAAAAGTCAAAATGTGAAACATGAATATTAAGCTGAAATGTCAGCCTTCAAAGACTAATTAATACATGATAAGTCTACACTGAATTTCTTTAACATTTTCATATCCCTGGAAATAAGGATATAACCAGTTTTCTTGCTAAGACATTAGAGAATGGTAATTTCTTAAAAGAGAAACAGAGCTGGACAGAATATGGTGCCATATTCCTGAAAGAAGAGGACAATCCCACTAAGGTTTTCAGTTATGTAGGTATTCAAGTCTTTACTTAGACTGAAATTATACCTGAAGGTCCATGCTTAATAATAATACTGCCTGTCTTAGAAATTCTAGAACATTCCTCCTGCTTGAGTACAACCATTTCTTAACCTACTAAGGATGATGATCGGTGATGCTTTGTTTTTCTTCTTTTGACTCTAATGCCTCATATTCTAGTAGCAAAGTGCAGGAAATCCTCAGGAGTCTTGCCACTAGACAAATACATAGTCTTTATAACCCAGTTTTTTAAAATGACAATGGGACTATTTTAGTTAGTAACTGATGGTCAATCCATACTATTTATTATCCTTTCTTTAGGTATTCAAGAGAAAAATACGGATGTTAGATTATCTGCCTGTTCTCTCCTAAACCTCTAATAATTTGGGGACAGAAATCCTTGCAGCTTGACAATCATCTAAGAATTGCCACTTAGGGATTTCTCAGTGTTTATGCAAGCTTGGTATGTGTATTATAAAAATTCCTTTGAAATAATTCTCTGGTGCTTTGGTCACTAAAAGTGTCAGTTCTCGGCAAGATTCATTCGCACAGAAGAAGCATTAAAACAATTTGCATTCACTGTAGTTTTTGTAATTGAACTGATAAAAACACCATAGAGACATTTCTTCTGAGTCCCAAAAGATATATAAGACCTATTTGGTTTGGGCCCTTCAGTCTCTGTTGTGGGGAATTGGGGAATGGGAAAGAAACAGTGAGGCCTACTGAAGCTTTTATCTAATGTTACAGCCACCGTCAGTATCTCCGGGAATTATTCCAATATTCTAAAGGGTAGAGGAATAGGGGAGGAGTTGAGAATTAATAGAAATAAAGAAGGTCAGATGCCTACGAATTTGAAGGTTTTGTTCAAAACTCTTCTCAAAGTTTAATGCATTCTAGACTTTTCTTTTTTACCCCCAGCCTCTTCCCATGCATAGAACCTTGACCATTCCTAGATATATCATTAACAGAAAGCTACAATGAGACTCGTGCTCATATTGGCTAAGGTCCCAAGATAATAGGCAACAACTACTGCAAATTCTAAAGTGAGGGGCCTGGCTCCCTCAGCAGGATCTGCAAGGGGGTAACTGAAAAACAGTTTGGGGAACCTTAACTAGCAACCACCTTCAGCCTATAAAAGAGGTTGGATAGGTCAAAGGAAGGTAGAAATCAGAGGAAAGAGGACTTTGCAGATTCCATTTTCTCTGTGTATTTGGGGAAGAAGGAACAGTCACATCAAGATGAGCCAAAGCGGTTTAATGAAAATCACTTGGAGAACTCAATCTGCGTCCCCAAGAGACTGAAGTACCTAGTGGACCTGTACCTAGAAAAGTCAAAGCCTACACACACCTGGCTGCTATTGGGTGGCTACTCAGGTCATCAAGAAGAGGTGGCTGCATGGCAAAGAGTCTGTACTCCCAGAGTTTGGGGGAAGAAAGGATGCATAAGTGTCTCCTATGCTCCCAATCTGGGATGTCATGAAAGAGAACGCCAATCTAAAGCCATCTTAAAGGACTTGGCCATGTGGGCCACCTGGAGGAATAATGGAGCCCTACAAAGATGTCTACCTAGTTAAGAGCCAATGGTGAAGCCAAGCACGCCAGCAGGAAAGTATGTCAGGGAAATCCAGTGAGGGATGAATGGTAGGCAAGGGGACTCTGAAAAACTCCAAGAACCCCAGGGTGAGAATGCACAGTAAGGATTCACCAAGACTTTCAGAAACCAGGACCTGCGCAGTACAGATCCTACCTCTTTTATCTCTCTCTCTTCCTTTGACCCAGAAGGGGTCAGAATCTGGGAACAGAGGGAGTCAACAGAGAAAAATTCAGCCATGTCCCAATTCCTTTGCTAGTTTTCTACCCAGAATAGGCCTGGGCTGGAGCAGGGAAGAAGCTTTAATCTCCATTAGTAACAGAGTTTTGGTTAGTACCTGGGACTGAACATTAATTACTAAATGACACTGTTTAATGCCTAGAATTAGCTGGATAGCTTTCATTTGAAAAAGACCAAAAAGATCTAATTTCATCCAAAGAGCATGGGAAAAACTAGTCCCACGTGGCCGGTTTGAGGGGGTCCATTAGGAAAGACAAAGCTGTTTCTTGGTCATACCCCTCGAATGTGGCTTATTCAGCATAAAGGTGACACTTGAGATTAACCCCTTTCATGAAATACAGTGGAATGATGGTGATAATACCATTACTTTCACCCATTAAGTGATTTCCAAATTAGTTTATTTTAACCTATATCCTGGAAAAACTACTTTTCTAAAACTATTGTGACAATAAGTAGCCCCTGACTCTAAGGCACTGGTATTAACTGAATCTGTGGGAACACTGTATCCAGACCTTTCAGTTCTCAGATGCTGCTGGAAGAGAAAAGAGAAGAAAGGACATGAATGATTCCCATTAGGTGGCATCCCTGTTGAATGATTCAAACACCAGGCAAAGGCAGCCCACACAATTCGTCACACTAGCATGCGCTCTAGAGGCCCAAAGGTCTCTCTGTCTGTAGAATGAAAACACAGGTGGTGTTCTTTTTATACCTACCACCGGGTCCCCAGCTCATTCTCATCTTAGTTTTAGAATTGAATCGCCATTCATTTTTTTCCCCATTAGCATTTAATACTGTCAGGATTAATATGCTTGTACTAGCTTTTACTCCCCTCTTGCCTAGTGCTATATGACAAGGCATATGCAATGCCCCAGGTAAGCTTTCTTCAGAGCTGATCATCTAAGAGGCTCTAAATTATTCGGCAATTAAGCCATCACTTTATTCCCACATAACTGTGGCATCATACGTTTGCTTCTTGCAGAAGATCAGAAACCATAACATACCTGCCTACCTAAGAGTTTCAGTTTTAAATGCATTCCATTCCAAGCAGCACAGTGACCCAAAAACCTATTACATGCGTCCAAAGACAAGTATAGGCAAAGCAGTAACAGGTTCCCTGGGTGGCTCCGTGCTCCCCGATTCAGGCACTTGCTGGGTTACCTAACCGCCTGGGCTCCAGGTTAACGGGCTTCGCTCCATGTTGCTCCTTCCATTTCTCAAGACTCTGTAGCTCTTGCTCAGCAACTAAACCAGGTGAGAAATGTCAAATCATCAATTATTAGAATGTGAAAAGGAAACAGGTCGCTTGAAAGCCTAAGGAACAAACATCAGAGGGCAATTAACTACATGCAAGCACAAGTGGACAAAATATCCAGGAAAGGAAGCCGTCCCTTGGAGTCACCCTGGGCTCGCCCCTCCCCCTCACCCAGGCACTTTATCTCCAAGTATGAACTGAAGGTTCAGATTTGAGGGGAAAAAAAAAAAAAAACCTGAACTCCTACTAAAATAAAGGAGTTTAGTTTTTCCTCTCATTCTGGCGTTTTTAAAACCCTACATCAAATTAATTTTTTTAATTTCCTCTAGAGAATGTGTGCAAAACAAGAACACTCTTATGTCGATAAGTACTCTTCACACACAGTAAACATATCCCCAGAGAATTCTGATGCCCATATTAACTGTATTTTAAAGTCCCCCAAGCTTACTGCAACTAGGAGCAGTGAGGGTTCGTGGGTTCCTTGTGCTGGATACCACCAGGCAGAAAGCCTCCTCTTGGTGGAGCGGTGCTATTTCCCCAAATATACCCTCTATGTGACAGCAGGGGGCGCCAAAGATACTAATACCGTCTTCCAGGGCACGTCTGAATCTACCCCTTAGACCTGATTGTTTCAAATGTCCATATATGGTAGTTTTTAACTATTAAAGAGAGAAAAAAAAAAAAACTTCTGAAACATCCCAAAATTCCAGACCACACTAAGGCTTAAATTCCTGGAAAGTATTTAAATCAAAAGCTTGTAAAATGCTTAAAATCCTTAAAATCTTTTAAGGATTCCTCTGATTACCTGCGGCAGTACCCACAATCACTCTGCATAGTTGTGATAATTGTATTCAGCACTGATGCAGGTGTACCACCCAGGGTGCTACCTGTCTCCTGGAGACCCAAGTCTCTAATTTAGGGACCTGCCTTCCTGTTGTGGCTGTAGGTCCATTCTCAGCCACAATATTAAATTTCCTACCAAGATCTAATAAAGGACAGCACAGAACGTCAGGGCTAGCCCCACAGTTTGACTTGAACAAGCCTCATAACTTCTTTGTGAACTAGTGGAACTTCAGTTCTCCATCCACCTCTGAGGTATAATGCTGTAGCTTTAAATGCCAGCATTTCTTTTACCATACAATTTCAGCCAAATATGTTACACACCCACTAGGTAAAAGAAACACAAAAATGAGTAAGGTGTAGTCCCTGCCCTCAAACAGGTTGTAATCTTACAAGGAAACTGAGGTACACAAATAAAAACAGCTTAGGGTAGACTCTGATACTTACAAAATTATGGGAGCACAAAGTTAAAGAAAAATTCTATTAAGAAGGGATGGGGCAGGACAGATCAAGAAAGGGACAAATTAGGTCATGATCTATTTCATATATAATTCATCTGCTCCAAATGTGTTCATAGTCCTGTAAAAGTATCTGCACTCAGCCCAATTTCCTGGGAATTAGATAGATTTATTGGCAATAGATGTGAAAAAGTTTAGGCCAATGGAAATCTTAGATTTACAATTGCACTATGAGTTCTGCTATTAACATAGAGAAACAAATTTAGAAGCACCAACAATAGAATAATTTTAAAAGGTACAATTAAAGCAGCTAAAGTTAAAAAAGAAAAAAAAACTTGATAAGATCTAGTAAGTCTATACAAATGAGAAAATAATACTACAAACCTAAGTAAACTAATCCTACTCTATAAGAAGATGAAAAGAATTCTGAATGTTGATTGAATAAATATACGTACTCCTCTGTATCTGATTTCTTCGGTTTTCATTTGGTGCTATCACAGTATATGCGCCTGGGCTGGAATGAAGAGAAAAACATTGATTACCACGAGAAACTACTAATGCATATAAACCTCCAGACAGTCTTCCTGCTCATATATTTATGATCGTCACCACCAAATAGGTACCATGGAAGATAGTCTTCTTAAGACCCAGCTCTGTTCTCTGGGAGCGTACAATCTAGTTGACAAAGTAAAACAAATGCACATGGCCAAATATGGAAATATAAAGCAGCTGGTGAAGACGGACAGTGACTGCCTCACAGTTGGCTCTTGGTAAACTGTCTTTGTAGGGATCCATTGTTCTTCCTGGTGGCATTTGTGGGAAAGCCCCTTTGAAAGGGCTTTAGATGGGCATTCTCTGCCATTGTGATCCACACTGGGGGTACAGAAAACACTCCTGCATTCTTTATTCCTGCCACCTGGAAATATAGGCCATTTGCAAAGCAGCCACCTTCTCTTCATGACCCATCTGAGTGGTCCTCTGGCCATAATCTTATGCTTTGGGGCTTTGACTCTTCCAGGCATGGGTCCACTAGGTCCCCGGTTCTCCTGGGGACACAGGTAGAACATAATCAGAGAAGGATCCTTGCAACATTTTAATTCATGGGGTGGGGATCTGGGAAGACTTCATTTAAGCAAAAATACGCAACACTGAGATACCAGGAAGCTGTCTGTGAAAATATTGTGAGCTTTTGAGGACCCAGAAACTTGACTGATCTGTACACACCCAGCCTCTGGCACGATATCTGGCACAAAGTAGCTGCTTGATGAATGTGGGCTGAACTAAAATGAAATGATGCCACAGACCCAGTCTGTAAATCTGGGCGGCGGGGGGGGGGGGGTTGCTCTTCTTTGAGATGATGCATGTAGTCCTACAAGAGCACAAATCCTTCACAGAGCAGAAATCTAGGGTGGCAACAGATTGCAGCATATGTGTGCGTCCAGTTTTAGGGGAAATGCATTGGATAAACACTATCATCTTATAAATGTAGGATTTAAACCAAAACACACCCCAGATATGCTTAGAATTCTGTCTCTTCAACACAGAATGTATAATTTCAAAGGACAAATTAGCAAAGATTGAACAGTAGAGGCCAAAGTGCTGATTAACAGAAGTCATTTCTTCCTTATCTCATTATTTTCCTAGCAGCAAGACTTCAGCCTGCTTCAAACCGGGCTTTAATTTTAGACTTGTAAATGGGAAATGTACAACCACCTTTGCATGCAAATGGGGCTGCAAGATGCCCAATTACCTAATGTATATCAGCAGACGTTGCATTTGTAGCCTCACCATGCATACGACGTTATGAATACAAAATTAGGAGGCTGCTACTGGAAATTAATCCCTTGTCCATTGTATATTCTTTGTTCACCTTAGAACTATTTTTCACTCCTCAATTGCCAGCACTTCATAGGAGCTTGGGAGCTGCAATTCTGTGGGTAATAGCTGCACACTTGAATATGATGCAGTGGTGAGTCATTGTACAGAGCCTTAAAGATGAAACACAGGTACTGGATTTAAATGCCAGCCGTGACATGACTGCATAATCCTCAATGTCCACGAACATTATGATACAGAGCTTCTCGCCATACCAGGGATTTGACTCTACAAAGATCAGTAGTTCTCAAACTTCAGCATGCCTCAGAATCACCTGCAGGGTCTGTTGAAGTGCAAAGTTCCTGATTCAGGAGGTCTGAGGTGGGGTTGAAGAACTTGCATTTTTAACTGTTCCCGGGGAATGTCCCTGTTCTCACACTGTGCGAACCATTGCTCTAGATCAATCAAGTTATCCTTGAACCCTTGGACTTAAGGGAATTTAGGGGTTAAATCACTGATAAAGACAGACATTAAATCATCTGCCAAAGGTCATGAGGTTAATTAAGTGATGGTGCTTAGACTCAAACCCGGGACTTTTGTCTTAGACCAATTGCGCATCTGCTGCTAACTCTTCTGTTCAATACAGAAAGCATACAGTGTGATTGTTATTTATCACCACCCTCTTGATAGACTTCCAGGGTAATCTACTTAACTACAGCACCTATTTATGGACTTGTGTTAAGAGGCTTTTGAAGAGTGAGGGGAAATATGAAAAAACAGACACCAACCACTTTAACGGAGCTTAGGCTTTAGTTTGGAACAATTTATGAAGCCACAGGAGCACCCCACAAGAATACCCAAACAAGGGGCACCTGGGTGGCTCAGTCGTTAAGTGTCTGCCTTCGGCTCAGGTCATGATCCCAGGGTCCTGGGATTGAGCCCCACATCGGGCTCCCTGCTCTGCAGGAAGCCTGCTTCTCCCTCTCCCACTCCCCCTGCTTGTGTTCCCTCTCTCGCTGTCTCTGTCAAATAAATAAAATCTTAAAAAAAAAAAAAAAAGAATACCAGAATACCCAAACAAATGTCAAAGTAGGATGATGTTAAGTAGAGATCCAAGGTGGGGGAGCATCACAGAGGCCCCAGGGGTGTAGAAATCTTTAGAGAAGTATAGCAAGCTGAAGTTTAAAAGATAGGATCCCAAAGGGCAAAAGAAGTGTTTCTTTGGTAGGACTTTACTAACAGCTGCTTCAAAGAAAATTTTCCAAGTTCCACAGGCCTCCCGTATGCAAATTTTGTGAAAGATTTGGAAAGAAACATCAATCCGTTTGTAAAAGATTTTACTCTACAATATCTCATCTGGAGACATTTAAGTCCAATAACATCATACCACAATCTTTAGTTTTAGGACGAGAACTGCAGTCAATCTATTGCAATACGTGTAGCCTACAAGTATCCAGACACAGTGCAGGACCATGAAAAGAGGGAAAGATTTATCCAACCCTAAATTCAGAGCCTTTTAAATGAAAGCATTTTAACATAACCCCAGGCTCAAGGACAGAGGTCCCAGGAATAAATGTTTCATGTTAGAGAATTCCTTAGCAACCTTCTTAGTAACATTTTCTTGGTTGAACATACCAAATCTGAAACATAATATTCAGAAGAAAGCATGGCAAGTAATTGAGCTTCTATTCCTCAGACTTGCTACATAGGAAGAGGAGCCTACATCTGATGATCTTTTTTTTTTTTTTTATCATGTGGCAGAAGTAAGGCCTTGGTAGATACAAATATTCATCCCTCCTCTCCTCTCTTGCTCTTGACATGAATAACAAGTATAATTTATTCATGTTTTCAGCCAATTAGTTTCCACCCACAGCAAAGGCCTCTGCTGTTTTAACCTGCATGTCTTCCCTTTCAACAATCTGACTCTCAAAGATGCTAATCTAGACAAGCCCAACCTACCTATATTTAGTATTCTGGGCATTTCCTGATTAAGCAACATTCAAGTCACTGAAATAAATGTATATCTTTGAAAATGAGTTTCCTTAATTACCTCATTGAAATTTAATGAAATATCACAATTTGTAAGATTATTTTCATTTTCCAACAGCCCCCATCCATGAGACATACTAAGGGAGAATATATAAAGAATAGTGCAAGAAAATGTGTTCCTGCACCATAAAAAATAAATATATAAAAGAAAAATATATGTAAGGAATGTTTTTCCTGTGAGGTCTCTCCTGAGCTACACAACTGCTTCTGTCATGTCCATTCTTGCACAATTTTTACAACGTGTCATCAATAAGCACTTTATGAAAAAATGTTATGCTGAAGTTATGAAAAATATCTTGGCTGGCTAAAAGTATTACATAAATATATCCCCTGGTGTGTACAAACTGCAGCAGATGTAATTTAAATTTCTAATTAGGAACAACAGTGGTTTGACTGAAAAAGAAACGTAGTCAAGAGCAAAAATTCAGAAAGAGGTAGAAGATTAAGTAACAAATAGATCTTTCCAAGCAGAATAGTAGACATGTAGTCTACCATCCTACAAAAAAAAAAAAAAATTAGTTTGAGATTTTCATAGTCCAAGAAAATCTTAACCTTGCATGAACTTGAAAAACAAGGATTTTTTGGTTAATCAAAAGCACTGGATAGAAATTCATTTTCTAGCTATGGCTTTCCATATTGGTTTTTGTTTTGTGACCTTAATATGGGCATCTGAAGCTTACTGCTTTTAGCCAAATTATAAGTCAAAACTTTTGAGGCATTCAGGTTGCCAAAAGTTCTTTTATAAACAGACCATATTCCCAAGAAAAACAAAAAATGACAAGATCAGGCTGAGTAAATCATCCTTAACCACTAAACCTATTACACCAACTCTGACCCAGCACTCCACAACTCCATTGTGGAAGGGCTCATGGATTCTCTTTGGTCTCAGAACCTGCAGAGTCCAAAACATTGTCTACACATCCAAGAGGCTGATGTGAAGCAGGTCAGTTCTTTAATTCACAGCTTCTGTTGGACAGTTGAATAGATCCCCAGAGGGCTGAAGAGACACCCAGGGAGAAATGATAAACAAGGGATCACAGGTCATCAGTACCTTTGTTCATAGGATAACTTCATGGAAAGTCTAAAGAGGTATATACATACACACATCCATCCATCCCAGTACCCCTATGTAGACTCATGACTTAGTGAGATGTGGTAAATTTATGCAAATTAGAAAAATGTGCCCCTTCTTTCAGGTGGAGGTAACTCTACACTAGGCCACATGGTTTCGCATGTATTTCAGCTCCAAATTATCACTTGCAAACTAACTTTAACCTAACAAGCTACCCTTAGCCTGTTACTGTTTCATAGATACTAGCAAAAGCCATGAGACCCCTGGGTCAGAAACTCAGACTTTATTACTCATGGCACAGCACACAGCATGAGCATCAGTGTATTTATGTCTGCTCTCTCTGGCCCCATGTCTTTTGGAGGTAACATGATAGATGCTGCACACACAGCATGTTTGCATGGCAGCTGAGGAACACAGCTGAGGAATCCACTCTTTTTACAGCAGGTAGTAAGCAAGCCTGGTCTTCATTCTGGGGAAAGCATACCTCATCTCTCAAGGTTCCCAGCTACATAACAACCTTGAGGAATAGTCCAGATGAAAAAATGTCTGGTGTGCTGTCTTGGCACACCCAGCAAGACATACAAGGGTGGAAGAGGCCCAAGCAGGACTGTCTTCCAACAAGAGAATATTCAGGATAAACACTCTTTTAAGAATAGCTTAGTGATAAGGAAATTTGCATTTGCATAAAAACCACATATTTACCAATGGTTGTACATTTTCTTTATATATATGTGTGTGTGTGTATATATATATATATATGTATTTATTTGTGAGAGCGAGAGAGAGAGAGAGAGCGCACACACAAGTGGTAGGGAGGGGAAGAGGGAGAGAGAGAGAAGCAGGCTCCCTGCTGAGCAAGAAGCCCTATGTGGGGCTCGATCCCAGGACCCTGAGATCATGACCGGAGCCGAAGGCAGATGCTTAACTGACTGAGCCATCCAGGTGTCCCCATTTTCTATTATTATTATTAATAGACTAAGATCTGATTATGTCCACATGTCTTAAGCATTGCTCCTCAAGATTATCTGTAACTTAAAGGACAAAACCAGAAATATAAGGTATGAGGGATTTATATCTGAATCTCTGCATAGAACATTTAAAAACAAAATTCATCTTTTATTTCTGATTTAGATTTTGAAAGAAACATGCTTATACATGAAAATGCACAAAAATATATTTTTTAAATATTGAAAAGTCGCTCGTAATCCCACCCCTCAGAGATCACAATTACTTTTTTTTTTGGATTTTATTTATTTATTTGATAGAGAGCAGAAGCAGGGGAAGCAGCAGGCAGAGGGAGAGGGAGAAGCAGGCTCCCCGCGGAGCAGGGACCCTGATGCAGGGCTCAATCCCAAGACCCTGAGCCAAAGGCAGATGCTTCACCGACTGAGCCACCCAGGGACCCCCACGATTACTTTTATTTGAGTGAATTTCAGTCCAATCTATATTCTGTACCTATTATTACACAGCCGCAATCATATCTTAAGTCCAATTTTATGTCTTCAGTTATAAGTGATTTTCCCAACTATTCATGTAACAAGCTTGATATTAAAGGGCTATATAATACTTCAGAACATGGATGCAGCATAATATAACCTCTCACTTAACTATTTCAGTTGTTTCAATTGTTCAGTATTATAAACAATCCTGCAGGATGTACAAAGCATAAAATAAAGCTTTGCGCAGAATATTATCCAGAAGATAACTCTAATAGTCCTCTAAAATCAATACTCTGAACAGGAATGTGGACTACATTTAAGTTTTTCTTCCTTAGATATCCCATTTGCATTTCTGAAATCCCAGAAACAGTTTGAATGATTAATGTCTGCTCTTATGTTTGACTCTCCTCAATTCTCAAACTAGGAAAGATGCTGACTCTACCCATTCATTTTCACCTTCTCCTTCTAATGGCACCTTTATATTATTCAGGTTGACAATGTACCCAATTAAAAGACTACAGTCCACAACCTTTTTCATAGCTAGGTATGACCATGTTATTAAGTTTGGGAAATTGAAATGTAAGTGGAAGTGATATAGAAGGATTTCTAGAAAAGCTCCTTCAAATGGAGACAGAGAGGAAAGGCTTTTCTGTTGCTTTCCAATCTTCATGGAAGACTGAAGTGGTAGCTGGTGCTCAAGCAGCTATCTTGGTCAATGAGGCAACCTGAATACAGAAGACATGTATCAGAAATGGCAGAACAGAAGGACAAAAGCCATCTGGTGCCCTGTGACTATAAAACCACCACATTAGTGGTAATCTATTGCCAAGCTGCCTGGTTTTAAACCTTAATTCTGTTATTTTCTAACTACAGTTTTGAGCAACTTACTAGTTTTTCTATTTTTTCACCTGTGAAATGGGGATAACAGCTATCTACATCTTAGAGTACAGATACAAAGTCCTTAGAACAATGCTAGAAAATAAATGTTCTGTTATGGTTGCCTGCTATTTGTACTACATCACCCAGAGACTAACTACCTTCAGACTTATTTCATAGGTGAGAAACAAATAAAGCCATCTATGCTTAAGATACCTATTTGCCGATATCTATTATATGTAATTGTAATATGAGAATTATGTATAACATACATATATGTCACCTCTTTCACCATATGTAATAAAACCTAGCTCGAAATCACAGTACATCTCCTTTTTCATTCTGTGACTGAATTTCTTTGCTCCATCTTCTTCCACAATGTATGCGATTTAGTTTTTTTAATTGTCTTTTTACAACCCTGGTTCTGGCATTGTTCTCTAACATCCATATCTTAGTTCCTGATTCTTTTCTTTGATCTGTGTCTTAGGAGTAATAAGAACCACTGCATGAAACAAAGTGGTGTTGATAAATAGTTCATTAAAGATTAGCAAATAGTCATCTGCAAAAGTAACATGGTTCTGAGCCCAGGTTTTTTCCCTAAATTATTTATTGAGCTATAATATACTTAGGACAAACTGTACAAATCTTAAGCATACAGCTCCATGACAAACTTCCTTTTAATTTCTCCAGATTCCAAAAGAATAAAGGAAAAGAGAGGCACAATGAACTTTAGAATATGATCTGAAATTACTTTGTCCCCAATTTTTTATCTTAAAATTTAAGCCTACAAGCAAAATTAAAATATTAGTAAAATGAAAACCCATATACTATTTACCTATATTTACCAATTGGTAAATGGTTGGCCACACTTCCTTCACTTTCCTCATCTTTGTTTTTTCTGAATTATATGAAAGTAAGCTGCAGTCAGTAACATAACCCTGAACACGTCAGCATGTATCTCTTAAGGAAGAAAGACATTTCCAGGGCACCTGGGTGGCTCAGTGGTTAAGCATCTGCCTTCAGCTCGGGTCATGATCTCAAGGTCCTGGGACCGAACCCCGCATCGGGCTCCCTGCTCCACTGGGAGTCTGCTTCTCCCTCTGCCACTCCCCCTGTTTGTGTTCCCTTTGTCATTGTGTCTCTCTGTGTCAAATAAATAAATAAAATCTTAAAAAAAAAAAAGAACAAAGACATTCCCCTACTTACAGGTTTAAAAAAAAAAAAACTATCACACCCAAGGGAATTAATATTAATATATATTTATTCTATATTCAAATTTCTAAATGGTTCCAATGTTTAGAATATTCTTCCCTACCCCCACCGCATCCTGGATCCAATCACAGATTACACCTGCCTGTTGTTTGACCCGTCTCTATAGACTTCAATGATCCAGGACCATTTCCTTGACTTTTTCCTACCTTTCATGACTTATATTTCTGGAAAGTCCAGGTGTGATGGTTAATTTCTGTGTCAGCTTGACCTGGCAAGAGGGTACCCGGGCTAGACGTGATTTCTGGGTGCGTCTGTGAGGATGTTTCTGAAAAATGTAAGCATTTGAATCCATGGTCTGAGTAAAGCAGGTGGCCCTTCCCATTGTGGGTGGGCATCATCCAATCCACTGATGGGCTCAGCAAAACAAGGAAGGCAGAGGAAGGTTGAAACCAATGTTGACCTGATTGGCTGACCTGAGACATCAATCTTCTGCCCTTGGTGCTCCTGGTTCTCGGGCCTCCACACTTAGAAGGGAAATGTACACCATGGGCTCTCCTGCTTTTCGGTTTTGGAGCTACACACTGGCTTTCTTAGGTCTCTAGCTTGCAGATGACAGATCATGGGACTTCCCAGCCTTCATAATTATGTGAGCCAATACCTTATGGCCTTATAATAAATTTCTTTATATATATATATGAAATAATCTCTTTATATATAAAAATGTTATATGTTATATATTTATATAATTCTAAAATGATTTATAATATATATTACAAAATATTATATATATTTATTACAATCTCTTTATAATATGTACTTTTATATATGCATATATATTATAAATTAGATTATATATATACAAATATATATTGTATATATTTGTATCTATATACAAATATATAATCTCTTTGTTCTGTTTCTCTGGAGAACCCTGACCAATACCCCAGGTAAATTTTTTTTTTTTTTTAAGAATTTATTTATTTGACAGAGAGAGACAGCGAGAGAGGGAACACAAGCCGGAGGAGTGGAGAGGGAGAAGCAGGCTTCCTACGGAGCAGGAAGCCCGACACAGGGCTCGATCCCAGGACCCTGGGACCATGACCTGAGCCGAAGGCAGACACCTAACAACTGAGCCACCCAGGCGCCCCACCAGGTAAATTGCCTTATAGAATTTATAGAACACCTCACAATCTGGATTTGAGAAAATGATTTATTCGTGATTAGATGTTCAGGTCAAATATTTTGGGGAAGAGTACCACGTAAAAGATATTATCCAAAAGTCCACTGTTAGAACAAGAGTTGTTTCCTTGCACAGTTAAATAATAAACCAATGTGAAAACAGTATCTGCCTATAGGATAGCGAGCAATCACACTTTAAAATAAAGATTAGAAAAAGAACATATCTTCTCCTGCCTGTCACCTTCTACTGGCAATAGAAATCAAAAAGTGTAATGGCTCTAAGACTTTCTACTTGGCACAAAGAATCAACGAGCACATTTACACTTTAAAAATAAAGATGTCTTCCTATCAAACTATTTGAAGTGTTTATTTCTAAGGATTTGAATTGCAGGGGACTTTTACTTTCTGTATTACTTTTGTAATGTTTGAGTTTTTATAAAAGCAGATATAACCTTACTTTTACAATCGGGGAAAATATTCTGAAGATTTTTAATGAGGAAATATTTAAAATAAAGACTTCAAGCAGGGGCTCAGGTTTTCTTACAAGATTAGGTAGCACAGGATTTCCACTCTCTCTGGTGCCACAGTAAAACAGACACTGGGCCATACTAGCCCTTGAGTTTTAATGATGATCAATGTCTTTAGTTTTTCTATAGGACTTTAATGGATTGCCTTTTAAGTGTTCATATTTGGGGGGGAATTACAAACATTACAGAACAAAGGAAGATCATCATTAGCTGATTCTCTGATATAGAACAGCCCCTTCAATTGCAGTCTTCTCCCTTTGATGATTTTTTTCCCGTTAAGCTTTTGTTTCAGATTCAAATAGATTCTGAATAGATGCAATTAACCTTAACAATATGTATAAACTTACAGCACTCTACTGACTTTGAATTAAATAACCTTATTGTGTAATTGAACTAAGTTTCTTTTTTCTCATTTCTGCTATGCCTCTACTGATTATTATAGGTATTATGTTTTTTCATGCTTTCATCATCCTGTTGATTTATTGTTTCACTGTTTCAGCTGTCAAAGACTTTTTGAGAAATGCCCACTCATTTTTGATATTGTATTTGAGCAAAGATGATTGCTCCCTAAGACTTGGCAGACTGCAAATGCATTCCATACAGAGGAGTGAAATCTAGCACAGAAAAGTTGGAAATTCGTTCTAAACAGAACCATAATTTCTACTCTCCTGTATAAACAGGAAGATAAATTGGATCTAAGCAAACCAAAATGTCTTTTCTTTCCATCTCCTCCAGCAATCTCTTCTGCCGTGCACAGAGCTATGTTTTTTCACACCATACATGTAACCCACTAATGGGTCATAAAACCAATTTAATGGGTTTATTTTTAATGAATGAGAGTAGAAAATGTCAGAGTGCATCACACACAGTAAGGGTGAGAGTTGTGAATTTTTTTTTATATAAACTCATATATACCCACACATGTCCAATATCATGAATGTCAAATGAATTGCTTACTCTGGCCTATGGTCAGAAGTCTGAAACATCACCAGGAGGCGGGATGTTGTTTAAGTTGCTCATAAACAGGGATGGTGAGGGGATGGTAAGAGAATTGTTTAAATGCAAGCCCGCCAAACCATCATTTAAGAAAAGCAGCAGAGACAAGAGAATCCCCACAGAAACTTGACTCTTGTAAATTACTTCCCTATCCAAAGAATTTTAAAGCTGTAAATGTCACATCACTGTTTCTGTAGCATCACTCCCTTTAGCCTATAGAATTTCTATTTTCCCTTGATGTAAAAATATGACGATTGATGGGAACTTAGCCAGCTATACTACCACTTCCTACCTCCAGCTCCATCTCATTTCAGGATCTAGACTTTGGTGGATAGACTTAGGTTGGAGTGCTGGTTCTATCATTTAAAAAAAGCCGTGAGACCTTGGGAAATCATTTAATCTCTCAAGACTCAGTTTCTTCAACTGTAAAGTGGCCAAGTGTTTACTGTGATGAGAAAAAGGAATTATATGACATGTGTAGTACAAGGTCTAGCACATGGTTAAGAGTCCAAGATGTAAGAGTTCCAGCTATTAATTGTTATTTTGGTTTTATTCTCTCGGGGTACCCAGTTTGACTATTCAAGGTCACAAGTAATTTACTTTAAGCTACTACAGTATTGGCATGCTTTGCCACATTTTTTGTTTCAAAAATAAGTCAAATAGGCAGAGTTCTACTGATTAGGCTGCTAGTAGAATATAGTAATCACTGAGACACCTAACAAGCTCATCGAGCCATATAATTATCATTAAGAGTTAAATACTATCTGTATTTTACAAACTTTCTGAATGCTTATGAGCCTTGTCTGAAGATTGAGTTATAGTCCTCTAATGAATAGCCATCTATATTAAGCTGTCAAGAAGATTACTCATCAGAATCAATCATAGATTTTTCTCTTCCTATGTACTATTATTTCATAGCATTAAAAGGAAGTTCGTCATTATTCAGCTCACTAGCCCCAGGGAGGAGCGATAGCCCGATGCTTTCATGCCATTTAACATCTATGGCAAAAGCTTATTTTCTCACACTCATATGAGGATTCAGAAGAGGGGCACTGCAGTGAAAAAGAAATAGTGAAAGCAGTTCTTATAGGCTGTCATTAGTTTGTAAAAACTTGCACTTAATTTAAGACTATTTTATGTGGCTAGTTTGGATTGAAATGAGGTGAGTCAAGAATGACCTAAGAAGTTTTTGATGATCTGTCTTGGACATAAGACATTATACTTCAGGACTCAGAATATAGTCACGATTATTAGATAGTGATGTTCACAAAAATTGAACACTATAACTTAATGATTATGTTATCATATATTCCACTTTATATCCCACCTTCTATGTATAAAACAGTTAATACTAATGTAACACAGTGTTCTTGAAGAGGAAAAGAGAGAAATCGGGAACTGGCCATTAATAAGTGGTCTGACCAAGCCGTCTTTATTCTCCCTTCACTGTCCCTTGAGACTTCGAGGATGAAGGGAAAGAAAAGTATCAGTTACCAGGGTTATTCCCTTCCCTGGAGCACAGCAAACTGGGAAAAGTTTTGAAGATTGAGTAGGGAAATAAGGAAACTGGAGCCCCAAAGGGAGGAAATAAGAAAAAGGAGTGGGTTTCCCCAGTACAGTTACGTAGCACTTCAACAGATGTAGTGTCTAAGCTATTGTAATCAGGGGTCTGGTGTATCTAAAAGGCTGTGTCGGTTTGGGTTCTCCAAAAAGAAGACATCAAGACAGGATCAGACACGTAAGAAGTTTATTGGGAAGAATGCTTGTGAAGGACCAAAGGGGAATGAGCAGGGGTAGGCCATGAAAGCCTTAAGAACAAGAGCAGATGTGATACCTATGAAAGCAGATTGAGGAGGGGGATTGAGTGGGAAAAGCCTCTGTACAACTCTGAGAAAATCTTAAATACGTCAACGGGGAATCTTCTGGTAAAAGTTGCCCAATAGAGGAGTCCCACCTGGGCCAGGAATAGGCTGACACTACTACCTTGGAATGTTCAGACACTGGCCGGAAGAATGCAGAATCAGTGTGCTCCCAGAACAAAGGGTATAATGGACAAAGGGGTTGCAGCTGGGACTGTCAGTGGACTATGCTTCCCACAGTAAGTTCTTTTGAAGGAGGTCTGGAGAGCAAGTTTCCCTGGCTGCCACAGAGGCAGCCTGTGGCATCACAAAAATATAAAAACTTAGTCTGTGTCCCTGGTTCCTGGCCCAGAACTCCAAAAATCCTTGGGATTCCAAGTGATAAGAGTGTTGATTGTATGCTAATGAGATGACCCCAGAATGCTCTAAGATGGAAGCTATTTGCCAGGAAAACCAACCGTATGCTTAGAGGGTTACAACGCTCAGGTCTGCCCCTCTGACAGCTCTGGGGAGGGGAGAGGAGCTAGAGATTGAGTTCAGTGATGAACTCAGTTACGCCTGTTACTTTAAATCAGTTACGCCTGTGTAATGAAGCTGGAATAAATATTCTTGAATAAGGACTGAGGACCTTCTAGATTGGTGAGCACATCAAAGTGCTGAGAGGGTGGCCCACCCAGACAGGGTATGGCAGTTCTGGGCAACACCCCACCCCCATAGCTTGCCCTATGCATCTCTTCTATTTCGCTATTCCTAAGTTGTACCATTTATAATAAAACAGTAATCGTAAGTATAGGAGTTTCCATGATTTCTGTGATTCGTTCTAATGAATTATCAAACTGGGGGAGGAGAGGTCATGGAAACACCCACATTTGTAGTCAGCCAGGCAGAAGTGTGGGTAGTTTGGGGACCCCATTTGTGGCTGGTGTTTGAAACAGGGGCAATCTTGAGAGACTGGGCCCTAATCCATGGGGTCTGTGCTAACTCTGGGTAGTGTCTGAACTGAAGTGAAGTTGGTTGGTGTTGGAATAATGTATGATGTCAGCAAAAAAACACACAACTCCCAATTATCCTGTTGATTGCAGCTCGAACATCACTTCTTGGGAACACTTCTCAGGCTCCCAAGACTAGCTCAGACTCTGGTTTTCCTTTATAGTGTATATGAAGAGTCATTCCTGTAATTATCTAATCACTGTCTGCCCCATCAATTAGACTATAAGCTACCTAAGGGCTTATCTTCTGTTGAGTAGTTATTTGTTCCTAAATTTTTAATTAAATATCCAGAGCTAGAGATCCTCTTATATGGTTCTTGTGAGGCCGGAAAGAGACAATATATACAATGCACTTTCATATACTAAGCATTTCATGTGTTTGCTATTATTATTGCCCATCTTTAAGTCTCTTCAGTTCTTAGTGTACAGTAGGCTGCAAATATGTTAATTTACATACAAATTCAGTTCATCTGATGTAAACTGTATAGCAAAGTTCCACATTACAGGTTCATTTTTAGAATATCTTTTTATTTCCTTTAAACAGCATCAAGCTAAAGGACCACTTCCAGGTATGATTATAGGCTAGCCTCTGAATGAAATGAACCCTGTGTTGCTATCACAGATAAGAGCCTGTTGCCCAGAATTGGCTAAAGTCAGGTGAAAACCCCCTTCCAGAAAAACCCATGCTTTATTCTTATATTTATCTAGATATTATAGAAGTGAGTGTGAGATATTTACCAAAAAAAAAAAAAAAATCAAAATATTGAAAGGGAAAGTGTTACTTTGGATTTGAAGTATATATGAGCTTTTTTCTCTTTAAATCTGTGTAGATGGCTTATAATATTTAGGGACAAGAGAAAAATCACCAACTAAAAATAATTGGGAAAGCCTATATGAATTAGCACTTATAATTACTTAAATCCAAATATAGTCAGAACACAGCCTTGCCTTAGAGTCTATTAGAGATTCTCAGAAGTCATTTTAAATTGTAAAAGATTGCCTTAAAATCTCTATTTATATTTATATGTAAGTAGGTGTTTTAAATCAGTGTATTTTTACAAGGTACAAACACTCCACTTCAGGGTGATAGCATGGCACTTGATCAGTAAACATTTGTTAAGTGAATTCAAGGCTATCAGCACCCAACACTTACTGGACATTTCCTTTCCGCTAGGCATGACACTACATTTTATGCATACACACATGCAAAAACAAAGAAACCCTAAGAGGTTGGTATTATATCATTTTAAGTAATGAGGAAACTAAGGCATAAAGTAGTTAAGCACCGTATTGATGCTCAGAGAGCAATTAATGGTAGAATTTAGAATGTGGACCCAAGTGCGTCTGTCCTCAAAGCCCATGCTCCCATGCCTACACTGGCACTTCCCTAATGAATTAATGGAAGGATGCACACAATACAAGGTTATATCTCAATCCTTTATCATATAAATAAGCTCATATTGAAAGTGAACAAATGAAGCTTATTAAGCACTTAATACTTCCTTTTTCTTTATTTCCCATCAGAAAATGCTGTAATTCCTCTCCAAAAATTAAAAAAAATGAATAAATTAAACTCCTTTTTAAGGTGTTACTTATTTATTTGAGAGAGAGAAAGACAGAGATAGTGAGAGAGAGCACGAGCAGGGAGGAGAGGGAGAGGCAGGCTCCCCACTGGGCAGGGAGCCCAACGTGGGACTCTCCCAGGACCTTGGGATCATGACCTGAGCCAAAAGCAGATGCTTAACCAACTGAGCCACCCAGGTGTCCCAAATTAAACTCCCTTCTTAATGGCTTTAGTGTATGTATGAATTTTACTAAGATGTTATTTACCAGGCAACAATTTTCCTTGGTTTTCCAGTTCCATTAAAGGAGACAAGTGGAAATAAACAGTAAATAGAAGTGATTGATGGAGATGTAAGAATTCAGAGTGGTCCAAACAGGATCTTAGATATTAAACACCTAAAAGGGATGGGGCGCCTGGGTGGCTCAGTCAAGCGTCTGCCTTCAGCTCAGGTCATGATCCCAGGGTCCTGGGATCAAGCCCCGCGTTGGGCTCCCTGCTCAGCGGGAAGCCTGCTTTTCCCTCTCCCACTCCCCGTTTGTGTTCTCTCTCTCGCTGTCTCTTTCTGTCAAAAATAAATAAAATCTTTAAAAAATAAAAATAAACACCTAAAAGGGAATGTCTCTTATAATGCTCTACTTATTGCAACTGGTTCACATTTTAAAAATAAATAAATAGGGGCACCTGGGTGGCTCAGATGGTTAAGCATTTGACTTTTAGTTTCAGCTCAGTTCATGATCTCAGGGTTCTGGGATCAAGTCCCACATCGGGCTCCACACTCAGTGTGGAATCTGCTTGAGACTTTCTCTCCCTCTCCCTGCCCTTCTCTCTCTCTCTCTCTCTCTCAAATAAATCTTTTATAAATAAATAAGTCAGTTCCAGGAAAACTAACTGAACTGTCCCATGTGCACTCTAATGGTCTATTAGCAAATCTTAAAAATCACAAAATGCGAATGCAGTGAGGTCTTCAGGTATTGAGTTCTGGACAATTAATTAGAAAACTGCCCCTTTCTGAGCAATTTCATCCAGCAAGATTCTGGGGTAATTTACAATCAAATAAAAACAGATAGATGCAACCACTAATATTTATGAGTTGTTAAGAGCTTGCAACTAAAGGGTTATATCCAAGCAGATATAGAACAAAAAGACATAAAGAGTGTTCATCATCAACATGAGACTGTATGCCCATGATCTCTACTACATTAAATGCTACAGCTTACTGAGATGTAGATTACTTGAAATTAATGAATGTCTATTGTAGCAAGACACCTCTCATTCTGCAAAGGAGAGAAATGAAGCAATCTCCAACTGAAATCATCTGGCTCACCCACCCCATCTAAGGGTAACCCTAAACTGAATAATATTAAAAGCCCAGTACTTATGAATTCTTTCAAAAGTTAAGGATGAAAGAAAATCTACTGTTTACCGGTCCTAAGGTCAAATACGGTTCCTTAGCAACCAGCATGTCTTTCGTGTGACTGGGAGTTGATGGAAAGGGGGGAAATGAAAATGAAACCACCAGGACAATTACAATTCACAGAGGCAGGGCTTCGAAAGCACTGTGTATGTACACCATACTATTGTGTTAAAGAAGTTCCTTCCATTGGGAAGAAAGAGGATCCCTGACAAGGCATAGCAAAATGTTTTGGGGTACCAACTGGAGACCCTGAACCGAAGACCAAGATAAAAGTTACCTGTAACGGTTCTTGCATAGAGAACCTACCCACGCCAGGACAGGAAACCCTGCAGCCACTCTCGACCTCACGCAGCCTCACGGCTCTGGTCCTAAGAGGTGGTTTATCTGGCAACTTTGTTGAGATGCAAGCGTGCTCCCAGAGGCAGCATTTGGACCCTCTACCCCCTAACACATTCCTCTCCGCCCCTACCCTGGCATCATTTAGGGCCCGGATTTTTTAAGACAGGAAGGAAAACAATTTTTTCATACTAGTTAAAGAGTGTGAGTTCTGGAGGTATCTGGAAAGTAGTAAGAAGCTCAGCGATTTCTACATATCTTTTCAATCCTGTAGCCAGTCACAAGAGTCAAGAAAGCAGTGTTCTTGAAAGGAACTGGAGCTCAGACATTTAGTAAAGACCCGCAGACTGGCACGCTCAATTTATAAGGTAATAATTCCTGAAGGCTTTTTGTGTAGGCAAATAAAGCTGCAGTCTCTCAAAAACCCACTTACTGGGCCCCTGTGGTTTCAAACTCCAAAGATCAAGAGAGTGCTTGTGAGTCTGTTTGAGGTTTGGGCTCCCGCCCCCGAAACAGGTTGTTAAGTACTTACAGCCACTGACCCGCGAGCCCGGGGCTCTCCTGCGCAGGGCTCTGGGGCGCCGCCTCCAGCCCACGTCTGGGACCTTGCAGCCTTCCTGGCTCCGGGTGCCGCCCAGGGGGGTCCTGGGCCGGACGGGGGGCGGGAGAGGCGCCGAGCCCGGAGCCCACCACCCGAGTGCGGGTGAACATAGCTCTGAGTCCGCGGGTCCCGGGCGCCCACTGCGGGAGGGATGCGGGCTGGGACTCTTGGCGAGTCCAAGATGCGATTCCGAAGGGCAGGGGCAGCGGTTTTAACAGCTTGAGTTTCGATTTCCCGCTACCAGCTGCAGCTGCGCCCGCCCCAAAGGACTTCCCCATTGACGCTCTCTTCAGGCGCCCTCTGACCTTATCCCCGGTAACAGCTCCCGCTCTGCCGCCCCGGCCCCGGGTGCGGAGTGGAGCTGGCTTGGCCGCTCTCAGTGAGTCGGTTTAAGGTCCCATAACCACCTTAGAGCATAGTAAAGAGAACTGTCATCAGCCGCCGACACCTTGTGAGCGAGCAGCAGGGAACGAGAATCCTGAAAGATACTTTAGGGACTGTTGAACAGGTAACCCTAATTTGTGGTTACTGCTGCATACCTGAGACCTTGAACAATATATTAATCTTCGGACTCCAGAGATCGGGTGAATAAATAAAATCATCCAAACAAAATTTTGCCTTTATCAGTAATGATTGCTGTTTGGTTGTTGTGCAAATACTTTCAAGTTAAGGAAACTAAAGTGAAATCAAAAGCCAAAGGAAAACCACAAGAGTAGAAGCAAGCCCTTGTTACTTCATCTGTTACCATGGCGGCATTACCATTTGCTTACATGTCTCCTATAATGCAGGTCTGGGGAGGCAAGAGACGTCTCTCATCTTGTATAGCGGGTATTATGACAGTCATGATCAACCCAATGCACATCAGAATCATACGGGAGCTTTTTAAAAATATGGATGCTGAGACTTACTCCCAGACCTACAGATACAGAGTCTTGCAAATCCATATTATGAGAAAGTCCCTAAGCCATAGTTGAATGTCTTGCACAGATCAGCTATGTAATCAATATTTCTTGAATGTCTGATCGATTACTTAGCAAGGCTGCCTGGAGAATCATTTCTGCCTACCGCTCAGCTTGCCCAGGGATTTGCATTTCTTTTTTTTTTTTTAAGATTTTTATTTATTAATTTGACAGAGAGAGAAAGACAGCGAGAGAGGGAGCACAAGCAGGGATTGGGAGAGAGAGAAGCAGGCTTCTGGCTGAGCAGGGAGCCTGATTCAGGGCTCCATCCCCAGGACCCTGGGATCATGACCTGGGCCAAAGGCAGATGCTTAACCGACTGAGCCACCCAGATGCCCCAGGATTTGCATTTCTAACAATTTTCCTGGAGATATCAATGCTGCTGGTCTTTGGACCACCCTTCAAGACTTTGAGAGGGCCGCTATGGGCAATGTGGAAGGCACAGAAGGGCCAAAGGATGGGCAGTTATGTAATAACATGTTTGAGAATGTTCTACCAGCAATGTGAAAAGGAGATTGAAAAATGAAGAGACTGAAATCTAAGAGATAAATTAAGAGCCTGGTTGTTATAATCTAGGCAGGAAATACAGATCTGAACTAAGGCAATAGCAAGTGAAACAGAAAGCAGGGAGCAAAATCAAGGCATTCTGAATGAAAGGTTAACATGGTTAGATAAAAAACTAGATGCAGGGGCGCCTGGCTGGCTCAGTCGAAAGAGCATGCGACTCTTGATCTTGGGGTTGTGAGTTTGAGCCTCACATTGGGTGTAGAGATTACTTAAAAAAAATAAAATCTTTAAAAAAAAACAAAACCTTAAACCAACAAACACAACTAGATGCAAAAGGGAACTGAGCTCCAGAGGTAGCAAAGACAGATGGGGAGACAGTTTTTACAGTACTCTGAAACTCAGCTCTGCCACATACCAGCCCCATGACCAAGGACAAGTCACTGATTTCCCCAGAGGCCCAGTTTCCTGATCTATACTATGTGGAATGAAGTTACAATACTTACCTTGTGGGGTACTGCAAGGAGTAAAGAGATGATCCACATCAGTGCTTCTCAAATAGAGCTGGAGTTGATTTTGCCTCCAGCAGACATTTGGCAATGCCTGGAGACACTTTTTATTGTGAAGCCTAGAAGGGGACTGAGGTATATCTCCTGGCATCTAGAGGGTAGAGGCCAGGGATGCTGCTAAATATCCTGTAATGGACAGGACAGCCTCCCAGAACAGAGAATCATCCTACCCAAAAAGTCAATAGCACTGAGGTTGAAAAATCCTGATCTATGTAATTTGCCTAGCTTAGAGTCCCAGGAATTTAATGGTTGCTGATTGATGGTAACTATAAGGTTTTAGTTTTGTATGTGGGTAGAAGGCAGAACCATTGATCATTAACCAGGAGGAGGGACAGGTTTTTGGCAAAGGTGAAAGACTTTGATTTGGAAACTGTTGGGTTGCGGGTGCCTGCAGGGTGAGACAGGCAGTTCAGGAGCCCACCGAAAAGTGGATCTGGGTGGTCTTTCTGGAGGCCATCATCTTCAGAATGTCATCTGCTGGAAAAATACCACTGGAACTTTTGTTTCAGAGAAGAAAGCAATTGTTTTGGTGACTGGATTCAATTGAAAGGTTGAATAAGGGAAAATCAGTTCTTCTAAAGGAGCTAGTAATAGTAATGCTGACTTCAAGAATACACTTAGTTGACCGTTATTTATTTTATTACCCAACCATGTAGCACACCAAAGTTTCAAACATGAGATAGATAGGACGCTTGGGTGGCTCTGTCCGTTAAGCGTCTGCCTTCATCTTAGATCATGATCCCAGAGTCCTGGGATCAAGCCCCGCATCATGCTCCTTGCTCAGCGGGGAACCTGCTTCTCCCTCTGCCTGTCGCTCCCCCTGCTTGTGCTCTCTCTCTCTCTCTGTCTGACAAATTAAATAAAATCTTTAAAAGAAAAAAAAAACATGAGATAGAAATAGGGGATAATAGGCCAAATCTAAATTGCTTAATCTGTTCATTTCTCATTTTGCTACATTCTCAAAGTATTAAAAAATGTGACTATGATTTATTACTGCAACAGACATCTACAGCCTCCTTTAGGATACTTGAGAATGGGTCATCTATTCATGTATCACATATGCTTTTACATTTCATGTATTTGTGTGAGAATGTAGGCTGGCCTTTTACTAGGGTTGCTCAGAGTTTTGTGCCTCTGAGCAATGGCTGGTGGAGAGAAGCATGGTGAGTGGAGAAGGTTCAGGATCCCTACCACTGCCTCAGCCAGAGTACTTGAGCCCTTATTTCTTCCATGTACCAGATTGCTACCTGATTTTGTTTGTACAAGGGTTCCATGGCTTTAAAAGTTCAACAAACCATTGTACTAGACAATTACCTATATGTTTTAAGGGCTATGGGGGAATCCCTGAAATCCAGTGAGATTGTTAAATTGCCTGAAATTTGGCCAATTAGAGATTCCTTTAGGAAATGGTTTTCTTTTAAAATGTAACAGCCTCCAGGAAATAATCATTTATTCATTCCTTTAGGTAAAGGAGTTTAATCTAAGCAAAAGACATTTTGGTTGGGGAAGAGGGAACCTGAGTGGAAAGAAAAGGAGGATTCAAAAGGATGTACATAGGAAAATGTTGTAAAATGAGACATTGATAGGAAATGGCAATTGGGGACTGCAATGAGCAGTTTTAGTCCAATGCGCTAGGATAAGATTAAAGATAAGGGGCGCGTGGGTGGCTCAGTCGTTAAACGTCTGCCTTCGGCTCAGGTCATGATCCCAGGGTCCTGGGATCGAGCCCTGCGTCGAGCCCTGCGTCGGGCACGGCGGCGGGAAGCCTGCTTCTCCCTCTCCCACTTGCCCTGCTTGTTTTCCGTCTCTCGCTGTGCCTCTGTCAAATTAAAAAAAAAAAAAAAAGATGAAATCAAAAAGGAACTTCACCAACTTGGGCTAATGCTAACATGTCCAGGTATGTCCTTTGTCTTCCAAGAAAATAAATGAGAACATGTATCTGATTTTAAAATTAGTTGCCTTCCATTACTGTTTCATTATTGTGAATAAATACATAGAGAGACAGAGATTCTCAGCTGTTTCCTGTCAGAAAGTGTCTCAATGAAAATCTTAGTTTCTGAAAATTCTAAAAAGCCACACTTCCTTAAATATGATTCTGCAGTGAAAAGTTAGATTAATCCAATAGATTGAGGACAGCAGTTATTTTAAAGCTTTGATTTCTCTCTTCAACAAAGGAGCTATGTAAACCTCACCTACTACTAGGCATCTCCTCATTTTAAGCATGAGTGTGTGTGTGTGTGTGTGTATGTGTGTGTATAAGCTGATTTGTGTTGTGCAATTTCATATTCTTTAGAAATTCTTTAAATTTATGCCATAAAATCATGGAATGCTACAATTATAAGTCACCTTAGGTTCATGTAATAGATGTTTATTGAATGATAAGCATAAACTGTTCACTTTGTCAAACCCAGGAGCTATGGTGGGGAACAGACAGAACCTTGTTATGCTAACTCCATGTTTAAGATCATCTAGCCACCTCATTTTAGATGGGAGGAAACTTGCTAGTATTTTGTGACAACTTAGCAGCAGAACCAGAACTTAAATTTAGGTCTTCTGTGTTCATGTCTGGCTTTCCACATTTTGGAAGATGATTGTGACAATATATATCTTTTGACAAAATTCAGAATTTGGAATGCTTTTCATTTGTTATAATTTTCCCCATGAGCAGCTGTGTATTATTTTCCAAAAACAGTTATGTCAAAGTCTCTAAACCTATTAGAATCAACATTAATAAAAACCATTGCGCTCCAACATTCATCCCTATAATTACATGGTCAAATAGTCTTTATAGTGACAGTGCTTTACACAATTTGTCAAATTTTCATGAATAGCAAACATGCTAAATTTGGGTTAGAATTCCTTTTTCTTTAACAGCATTAAAATAGTGAGCTTTATAGTGTAGCATAAAGAATTCTACTTAGCAACAGAAAGAGGCAAATTTGTTCACTCTATTTTTCTGATGACAATGAGTACTGTCACTTGGGGAAATGAGGAGAAATATGCTTTCAATAATATTTGCTATCTTCTGGAAGGTGGCTGCATTTCTTTGTTTGTAAACTCCTATCTGAAGAAAGGGTAGTGGCTTCTGTCTCTGAGTTCTAACACTGTATAGTAGGTGTCACAAGACCTCTGCTGGCTGCAAGGATGAAAGGAATTTCCCTTCACTGGGGAAAGTTCTGAAGACTCTGTCTGTGGCTTGGGAGAGAAATTCCCCTGAA